CAGTAAGCCTCCACATTAAGGGACACAGATTTTTCTTTTAATCCTTGAAAAGGAGTAAAGTGATTATAAAAAATAAATTCCATGGTGAATGTTTCTGAATAATTTATAATCAAATTTTATATTAATTCACACTCTTGAGAATTGGATGCATCTGTTCTCTATTATACAAATTTGGGTTATAGAGTTTTCTTTGGGCATAATTGAGACAGAGCAAATTAAATTGCATTGTTAAGGTTATGCTTCTGGTTTCGGCAAGCATTAATTTACAGAATTATGTAGACATATTTTTTTACAGAACAGTGTAATTGGGGAGCATTGTTGAATGTAATGTTATATTTCCTTTGCAAAATAATCCTTGCTGTATCATCACGACTTAGCTGTCCACATACACAGCCAAACATACCTCACTGGACCTCTTCAACCACTGATCCTGAACTGATACCCACATCCCCCCAGAAGCGGGTAACACTCTCAGCCACTGGATGCAACAACCCCTTACCCTCCCCACCCTTGGAACTGATAATGCCCTCTCCATCTGGGTCTCAGCAGTCTCTCTCTGCCCCCAGGACCTATTCGCCTCTGAGCCCAGCTGGCAGAATTGATACCCCTAGAATCGAACATTTTCCTCCCCCAACTCCTGACAATCCCTAACAACATAGGTAAGGAATATGGAAGTAGATTGATAATAGCTTCATGAAGCATCAGTAATAAGCATGCATGCAATCTTTAAGATAGCACAGAATTTGAGACGAAAGCTGAGCACTGCAATCACATTTAGATTGTGTTTGTGTATGCCTTATGACACAGTGGTTCTGTTATAATGTATGTGTGAGAGAAACATTAAATTACTTACTATAAGGCAATACATATATTAGATCAAAAATAATTGTTGGATGGAATTTTGTAGGGGCCTGAATGATGTATGCTATGGTAGGATTTAGGACAGAATTGCATGAGAAATCCAACGAGGCCCATTTTGAAACTAGGAGCATCTTGCTGCATCTTTTAAGCAGCTATTGAGTGGTGAAGTGAGTTTTTTGTTGTTAGGCAGAGAGGAGTTGCTAATTTCAGGGAATTATTGCTCGCTAAATGTCTTACTAATACCACAGCTCGCCTTATTGGTATTCAGTTTCCTATTTTACCAAATGCACCGAACAAGCTAGACATCAAAGGATATTCTGTTTCCACTAGTCACTGTGTCAGTAACTAGGGGTCACGATTTCAAGATTGTCAGCAAGAGAGCTAGAAGTGAGATGAGGAGAAACTTCTTTACTCAGAGAGTTGTTAGGGTTTGGAACTTGTTGCCTGGGAGAGTGGTGGAAACGGATTCCATGCACAGTTTTAAAAGTGAGCTGGATGTATATTTAAAAAGGAATGAAAGTGATAAGGGCAATGGAAATAGGACTGGAGAGTGTGACTAGCTGAGTAGCTCCTTCAGGACCTGGTCCAGACACAATGTGTTGAATGGCCTCCTTCAGTACTGTAACTATCTGTCTAGCTATCTGCCCAATTAACTATGTATCCAACTACCCATCTACCTACCTATCTATCTATCTAGCACTTCCCGACTAACTATCCAGTTAAATGCATTGTAACCCTCTGAAATCCTTAGATCACAATAGGAAACTTTGTCACAGGGCTCTGTACACAGGGTAATGATCCATTGAAATTTTAAACGTCCCAAATTTTACTAAACAGAGTCTGGAAGATCTGCCCATGCTCTCCGAACTGTAAGGAGCTCCTTGGCAAAGTCTAGGATAAGTTCTATTTAATACTATTCCTAAATGTGGATTAAATGCAGGAGTGTTAGGAAGAAATTGTCGAGGTATACAAAATAGTTTATCGACAAACCAAGCATTCAACAATACAAATAGTATTGCCAGGATTAATTTTCTGAACTAAGATTGAATAATGAAGAAAATTTTCACAGTAATTTTAAAACTGACAAGGATAATTATGCCACCAGAATGGGGCTTGTGGTTTTATAATTGATCACGTACATTTCAGTGGTTAGATGGAATAACATTATAGATATGCTACATTGCCAGGCTATGACCTCAGGATTTTATCTCCTCTTCTCTCCAACTGTAGTCATTGTAATGAGGTCAGCCAGGTGGACCTCATAGAATATGAGTTCCCTGATTGGGGTTGTTAATGTGGTCCAATTGCCGGCTGACAGACACAAATAGGAAAGTCAGACATTGTGTTCACTCTGACAGTTGGCTCTGAGGGAGTTGGATCAGTGTCAAGGACTCTCCATGTGTAAATAAAGGGTGACTTGGTGACACGATAACTGTCTTCTGTGCAGTTATTTCACCGACTGTATTATGGTGGATCTTGGCAACAAAATGAACCTATAAGCAATTTTATAACATGAATTCAAACCTAAAATCTACATTTAAAACAAATGCAATTTTCAATTTCAGAATATATTTAGTACACAGATTTGCATTTTGTTATGGATACTTAGATATTGGATAACAATCACTAAAATCGCTATCTACTTATGTACACTTGTGAATGATTGCAATTTGTTTCTCCATAATGTATCTTTATTTCTTCCTATTCATGAATGAGTAGAGTAAATGTCTCTGGCTGTAGGCAGTCAAAATCCAAGGGTGAAATCTTGGTCTCATGTGGTGCCTGCAAAGTGCTAAGGTGTACATGTTGACTCTTAGAAAGAAGGCCTGCCAGATCTGGTGTTTATCAGACACTAGTGGACACCAGTGGACCTTCCTCTCAAATGAGGACCCCATGGTAGGATGTTCCAGCCACCTATAGCTGCTATCCAAATAGAAGCCGGACATTCCAACACTTGGTGGTGTCCTGGAGGAGGCTGTGGCAGCTATTGCTACAGCACTCCTTGGGCACTCAGGATGGAGCAGTAACCAGGGAAAAAGATAGGTGTCTGTGGACAGTGGGTGCTCTTGTTGAGTGAGGGTCAAGAGGCCTAGACGGGTCAGAAACAAGGGCAGGAGCTTGATTGCCAACTAGGTTGGAATAAGACTTTAAGTGGTGCTGAATTAACCACTTAAGAGTTTCAAGCGGAATTGGGGTGGAAGCTCACCCATGTGACTTCCAGCTGGAACTTACTTGGGTGGCAAGAGGTAGGTGTGGGTATCAGTCCTGACAACAACTCACTTCATTTTCAAGGCCTCCACCTTCATATGGGCCTGAGGATTCAAACCCACATTTCGCATAATGCGTGTGCAGCATGTTTGTAGAGTCAATTCCTTTTTGAAAGCTCATTGGAGAGATATTCATATTCTGGTTGGTCTTTACATAAATGTAATATGAGTTTTATCTGAAACTTTGAATCTTGTTATGAAAATTTAGATGTATTATTTCAATAACAAATTTTCATTTTTTTTGCTGTTGTCTGAGTGATAGCTATTGCTCTGTGGTAGCCACAAGTTCAGAATTCTTCCTTCATGTCAGAAGATTGTGGACTCAAATCCAAAGACCTAAAGACCTATGTTGATAATTGACTGAGGGACTGTTAGTAGCTGAGAGTACGATCTTCTGGATTGAGCACTAACTGAGTTCCCACCAGCCCAATTTGGAGGATTTAAAAGATTCCACTTTGAGAAGAAAGCTGAGGACGTTTGCGGTTGCCATGGTCAATATTTACCTCTCAACATCTCAACAGAAGAAATGGTTATCTGGTCATTATGACATTGTTATTTCAATTTCAATTAAAAAAAAAGCTGCATCATTTCCTACCTGCCAATAACATTCATATTTCATTGGCTGTGGAATACTTTACAATATCCTGATGCCATGAAAGGTGCTATATAAATCCATTTTGCTTTCTGTTTTAAACCATTTGCATTCAGTGATATGGAGAGTATTAAGGCTGATTAGATGCCTCTAATGAAAGTTATCAATAAATAAGTGAAAGGCTAAAACATCTTTAGTATTAAGACAAGGCCAAGCCCACAATGAAAGACATAAACAAGGGTAGAAAAATAAGACTGATGAGAGTAGGAGGAAAAGTAGAGTGAAGTCCTAATGTTGCAAATTTAAAAGCCTTTAGTTTACAAGAGGAAGAAAATAGAACAAACATAAAAAGGAACCAACTGACAGCAAATAATAAAACAAAAAATAGAGCAAGGAAGAAACATTTTCAGAGAACAAATTACACTGAAAGCCAAATGGCAGGAAGAGCAAATAAATAGCCCAAAACAGAGCTGCGATTCATAAAAGTGAATACAAATCAGATGGATTGCGAGAATCAAATGTGACAAGATTGGTAAAAATATTCTCATTTTGAAAAGCATTCCTTTATACAGTTTAAAGAGAAGCACAATGCCTCAGTGAGTTAGTAAATGCCAGCTCCTGCGAGAAGCGGTTCCAGGCAATTTATCAGAAAAGGTGCAGAAAGTAGCTTCTAAAACATTCTAAGACTACTTTTGATGGAACAGTGCAACTGAGATGGCTCAGTCCTTAACCTGAGAAGCCATGCTTGAGAGTGGGTAAGAGAATTACAATGGGAATATGCTTATGTGGATGATAAATTGTTTTTAGGAATTCATAGACTTCGAATTAATGCCACAGTATATCGCCATCAGATGTGCAGTCATACTGGGATATGCTTATGAAAATTATGCAATGTGTTTCTAAATTTAAAGGTAAATTCTCAATGACTTAAGGCACATAATGTTTTATTTTAGCTTCTAGTTTTTCATGTGTTAATCCTTTTAAAAACATCTCAACAAATAAAAAAAGTTTAGCATAGAACAAATTCAATTTAATTTCATCAGTTAATAACGTTGCCTAATTTATATTTGATTCAGACCTTTTAGTATTGCCCTTGTTTGTGTTTGCTTCACATAGATATGCTGTAAAAGACGAGTCAGATTGTGCTTTAAGCTTCCTAATCCGTTATTATAAATATATCATGGAAAAAGTTGCATAAACCAAAGATGCTGCTTTTCAGACTTTATTTAATTTTTAAAATACCATTCTAGTGGGAAAGAAAGGCCACAAGGTAGGACCTTCTAGAACTCCATAATACGACGGCAGGATCCCACAGTGGGAAATGTTGCACCCCAGTCACTGTAGTGCTTGTATTCTCCTTTTTCAAGCAGGTACTGTCTGCCCCTGTAGTTAGGATGCTCATAAAAGGCCCAAGCTCCATCTATCACTTGGCAGGACTGCAGTTCACGGTAAGGGAAACGATCATGGACAGACGGGCAATCTTCTGTCAGTTCTACCATTTGTCCACCAAACTCTGGCCTTTCATAGATTCGAATTTTGTATAAACCACCAGTAGCCTGTAGGATTAAAACAGAATAAGTGATGCTTAATAATTTTCTAATAAAATGAGTTAAGTACATGCTAGATATCTTCTAGGCAATAACAACTGAAATATGACAGACACTATTAGATGTGAAGCAATTGTAAAGGGTTGATTTGTTCTAGTGCAAGGCTGTAATTGTGCGATCATGAATCGACAGTGCAAGTTACATCTGTCCCATACTTCTATCGTTGGAAAAATAATGGAAATAGAAATTGGGAGAGATACAACACAGCTTCTCACCATCATTCAATCTAAATCTGTGTGTTTCATTAGACATTCTGTTTTGTGTCCTACAGAAAATCATTCAGATTTTTTAAAGTTACTTTTGCTGCATAATCCTCAACAAATAGTCATAAAGAATCAAAAGGAAATGTATAAGACCTGTCCCATTGTAGTAATGTTAGTTGGCCTTTATTTTAAGATGGTAGCCAAAAGGAATAGAAATTGATGTCATTTTGACTTTGTGCAATATTGTAAAATATGTCGTATTGAATCATTTGCATCACTGCCTTTTACTGACTTCGATGCAAATGTAATTTGGGAGAAGTATTAAACTGATTTATTATCAACTCTATTATATTATTGCACAAAGAAAAAAACCCACTGTAACTTGTTGAGTAGAAAAAATTAGTGCAAATTGAATGATTTTCTAAGATGATTTATTTGCACTTTTGGATAATTCATTTCAAAACTAAACCGTTAAATTGAAATATATCAAATGACTTGGAAATAGAATTACTGTTGCTTCAGTGTCGCTCGGTCAAAATCTTGGAATTCCCTCCCTAATTGTTGTGGGCCTACCTACAGCTCATGGCCTGGTTCAAGAAGGCCGCTCATCGCTACCCTCTCAAGGGCAATTAGGGAAGGTGAATAAATTCTGGTCAAGCCAGCGACATCCACATCCCATGAATGAATTTGGAAAAATGACAAAAAAAAAGTATTGCAGGGAAGTTCATACGTAGCAGAACATGACAGTTTTCCAATTTTCACCAGACACCACAAGACTTGGTAAGTGAGTCACTAAACTGTAAGATTAGTAGTTAGTCAGGAGTTGCACTGAAATATGAAATAATGTCGAATGAGCAAGTTGGACCGAAGGGTTTGTCTCTGTGCTGTATAATTTTATAACTTTGAAAGTCCTTCATCTAGAAAACTGGGCAAAGTTAGAACATATACCTTTGCCTGCACAAGGTGCAATTTTTACCCTTTTGCCCAATGGCAAGATGGAGAAATAATGGATTCATTAACCCTGGAGAGAGATTCACCATCTTCTCATCAGCTCAGTAATTAAGGTCTCAGCGTGAACATTCTTGGACAACTTTCTCACCCACCAGCAACTAAGGAGTCTTAAGCAGTCAATGAATGCTCACTTAAAAGTCCCAACTTGCTACCGCTCCAATCACCTGCCTCATCAGCGGTTTCCTGACTGGGAAGCGAGGAAAGTGCCAGGTTAGTGCGAGTGCTCAAATTTCTCTAACTGGGGGGCAGTGAGGAAGGTCCAGGTGGATGGCGGAGGATTGACTGCTAAAAGCCACATGCCTGCCCTTGCCTCCAACATTCTGACACCACCCCCTCCCACTGCAGACACCCCAAAAGAGGAGTATAAAAATTACATACTTCTCACTGATAGATCCCCCAGGGAGTAGGCCTGAACTGACAAATTTTAGAAACCCCAGGAGCTGCCAAACTCTGATTTACTGGCAGCGTTTGGCAACCCAGGACACCAGTTTCGAGGCCTGTGATTCGCTGAGAAGCTTGCCCAAGCTCTTAATGAGCTGATTGACAGGTATTTGGATGCATTTTTTTGGTGCTGGGGGTGACATGTTGGTCACCACCTAACATCCACATCCATACTTAAAAATTAGGGAAACCTTTGCCTACATTGAATTCTTAAAAATTGACTGTTCCAATGGGCGATAGTAACATGATTGAACTAAACTAGAAGAATTTGCAAATAAAGACCAATGTAAACTTTGGAGTGGGCGGGAGAATGGAACTGGAGCTGAGTGCATTCATGTAAAAGCAGCAGCAAGCATCAAGAAAAATTTGTTTATTTCTCGACAGTAATATTTATAATTCTATGGTCTAACATCCAAACCACTAACAGTGTCTAGCTGTTAAGTAGTAGTAATGCTATAAATAGCTCATAACCAAATAAACCAATAACACAGTGCCATGGGACATAATGCTGACACTACGAAGTCACTGGGCATTGGAGAGTGAGAGGCATTTAGATTAGAAATAATGCTTAGCTGATGTGATAAACTAAGTAAGGAATCGAGAATTTACCACTGTTTTTCCAAGCTATTATTTAATGATATAGTTATCTTTGTCTACAGCATTTCAAATCTCAAAGAATCAATCACGATTTTGTTGGCATTTTGTTCTGATTTTGGCTAAGTTTCTATGTTATCAGCAGCTTACAATGTGTGTCCAGAGTCACTAATTTTGTTCCCCGTCTCAAACAGTGTTAATGCAAAGATATAAAGATTCAATGTTTTCAATTTGATTGTGGTATTAGTATTTTATTCAGATCTACTTTAAGGTACTAGTTAATGCATGCTTGCACTATTCATGGTGAATATAATCAAGAACTGTAAAATTAAAATGCTCCTCCTTTTCTCGCAAGAGGTCAGGAACAAGCAATCCAAAGTCAGATATAGCATGATGGATGTAGACCAAAGCTCCTTTGTAATATCCCTTCATGGTACCCTAGACGTAATGTTAGAAAGACATCCTTCCATATATCAGGCATCAGGTTCTGGGTAGTTCACTTGGACTTTGTAAAAGTGACTGCCATTTAATAACCAAGTCCAAAACAGTGGATCAGAGAAAGGAAACTCTATTTTGGCTTTAAATCCAAACGGTACCCAATCTGAGAGCGCTGATAGTGACACTGTACACCCAACGTGAAAAGCTGATTCTGAAGTTCATTACCTCAATACAAAATTCGATGAAACTCTATCCTTTTAAAAATAAATTACGGCAAAGGAACAAGCCATTTGAATCAATTGACCTGTGCTGGTGTGTACACCATGAGTGTCCACACGAGCCTCTTCTCACCCTCTTCATCTATGATTTTCCCTCTATCATGTACCTATTCAGCATTCCATGAAATCTTCCTGTCTGATACACTTCAACTATTCCCAACAATAGTGAGTTTCAAATTTCACCCACTTGCTAGGTAATTTATACATTAAAAATTACAGGATATAAACCTAATTAATCTAGTAGTTTTTAAATCCATTATAATCTTCCAAATACAGGTAGCATTATGTTTATGTTATAGAGGTTGTAGATTTAATACAGCAAAGTGATTGTACTCCAACACTGAAAATAAAGAATTACCATTCTTTGAGGTGGTTACTAGATCCCCAGAGGTCTGAGTTTACATCGAGCAACTAAAATGTCCGTGAATAATCTCCTGAAAACTCTGTTTTTCTTTCATTTAAACTCGTACTTACATGGCGAATAAGCCGGCATGATTTAATACTGTCATTGTATCCATTCCAGTGCTGATAATCTGGATATTCTCCCCTAGTCAGAATATATTGATATCCAGTGTAATTTGCTTTCTCATAAAGCACCCAACAGCCTCGCTCCACTCGGATAGAGTTACATCGAGTAAAGAATGAGTGCAGATCTGAACAGTCAGTGCTACACTCATAGCACTGGCCCTGGAAGTTCTTGTCCTCGTAAAAAATGATCTGCAGTGAGAAGAGGAAGGTTAATTTAATAAAATCTACATGATATACAAAAGTAATAAATAGCTGCTACATTTCATAGTTAATACCAGCCTTACCTTTCCCATTTTGAATTTTCACCCAAAGGGTTGTTTTGATGGACATGGTGCTGGGATGTGAAATGTGAGGTTTATATATCTAACCAGATCATGCGCTGTAATCTAATGCTTTGTTGTTTTAATAACGTTTATTTGCATATCAGCAAAATTTAGTTGCCGTATCCTTTGTGAACAAAATGATTGTTCAGTGTTAAAGAAGTGCTGTCCTCTGTTGATTTGATTTCTGCACTAATGCTTGTGTAGCTTAACGTAGGAATAAATGTTTACCAAATAGATCTTTTACACTTAGTGAATATTTTCTTCATATATTTGATTGTCAAGAATATTGATAATCAACAATGTGATTTATTCCATGAAATAATTTGTTACAACAGAATAAATTCTGACCTTTCCTACGCTCCGTAATTTATTTGTCATCTGGAATGTCTTTAATAATAAGAATTCATTCAGAAAACTGCTAGAAAAGCTGAACTTTGAATATTCCAGGCAGATACTTCCATTAATTAAGAAGCAGAGCTGTCTGGCAAATCATCCACTGCACTGCCATACTGATATGATTTTGATTGCTTCATCTGAATATACTCAAAACATAAACATATTCATGACTTTCATTTTAAGATGAATAATATTGAGCAGGGAATGTTCATAATGAGTACTTTAAGTCCTGAAATACCTAGGTACTGCTTGGCTAAACAGGCTGAACCACTGGAAGAAACAAACTGTTGTATTTGAACATGTTGTACATTGACCAAGACTGTTTTCAGCTAGTTTTGTTTCTTTCTCCACACTTACAAAATTGAGCTTAAAAGCTATTGTTCTTTCATGATTGTTGGTCCTCTTTCCTGTTAAGAAGTTGCATTCCTGTCAAAAACATTAATCAATGGCACTGAAAAATCATCATTTATCCTCATACTTTAGAACATATCTATCCTATTTTATGAAGACAACTTTTGGACTGGCAAAGTGATACGATAGTTCAAGCAGCAATGCACCCCACTTTTATCCAGTTCTTGTGGTTAGCACTGTTGCCTCACAGGGCCAGGGACCTGGGTTCAACTCCACTCTTGGGCCACTGTCTGTGTGGAGTTTGCACATTGTCCCTGTGCCTGCGTGAGTTTCCTCTGGGTGCTCCGGTTTCCTCCCACTGTCCAAAAATATGCAGGTTAGTTGGATTGGCCATGCTAAATTGTCCATAGTGTCCAGGGATGTGCAGGGTAGGTGTATTAGACATGGGGAATGCAGGGTTATGGGGATAGGGCAGGAGGTGTGTCTGGGTAGATGTTCTTTGGAGGATCAGTGTGGATCCAATGGGCCGGATGGCCTTCTTCCACACTGTAGGGATTCTCAGATTCTATTATTCAATTATTTTAATCCTGTTGACACTGAAACTTTGTTTTGTCTACCTTCAGTTTCCTTCCATTACCATTGTCAAGTAATTTTTGAAGTTTTGCATTGTGTCCTAATGCCCAGGGATCGGATGAGTTTCAGTGTACAGAAGGCCATGAGTACAGAGGTGCTGTCTAAATAAGAGCCTAGCCTACCCTCATCAGGTGTCAGGAGGCAACCCAGTGTTAAGTGGAAAATGTTCAGCTCAGAAGCCATGGCAATGGCCTCTCTATATATGGATTCCTTATAAATGTTGGGTCAGTTTTATGGGGGATGCTCAAAACTCAATGAAGACAGCATGTAGACAAAATCAAAAGGCCTAAAATTCTGGTTTGGATATAAATTCAACTGGAACAGATCTCACATTGGGAAATTTGGTGATGATGCCCTGAGATTGCATTCCCAACTTTTTTCATTGAACTCCAGCCATTTTCTTCTGAAGGGGGGAGTACCGTGGCTCATTTTCTGCACTGTTATATGTCACTCATATGTTGAATGCCAAAGGGAAATTCTCCACCAAAATCTTTTGTGCCTTTTGCTTAATTATTGCATACTATGACAGGTAACAGGATTGCCTGAAGGTGTGAAACCCATCTCATATTCACACTTATGTTTCATCAATTGAAGCAAATGGAGAAAAATATATCCCATAAAAATCGATTTTTTTGTGTGCATTTCCGTCCCTTTAAACTAATTTTATTATATCAGAATTTTATTGATACAGTTCAAATTAAGAAAATGTCAACATTTCCCTTATTTGTATTTTCATATTTAGTCCTGTGAATGAACATTTTCAACAAGAAAGAATCTAACCATGTCTGGCAGCATATGTAAAGGAAAAAACAGAGTTAACGTTTCGGGTCCGATGACCCGTTCCTCAGAACTGATGGTAGCTGGGAAAACGTCAGTTTATATGCAGAAAAAGGGAGGGGGTTGGGGTGAGGGAGTGAATGATAGGATAGAGCCTAAAGAGAGAGAAGAGCAGTTGGATAAACAAAGAGTTGCTAACGATCAGGCTGGGAGGGTGAATAGTTGTTAATGGGGACTGTTAGCGACTAACAATGGGTAGTGTGTAATGGCAGGCTATGTGGTGACAAGGCCTGGTGTGTGGGGTAGGGGGCTGGGACATGGGAGAGTTTAGGCCCTAAACTTATTGAACTCAATATTGAGTCCGGAAGGCTGCAGGGTCCCCAAGTGAAAAATGAATTGTTGCTCTTCCAGCTTGTACTGAGCTTCGCTGGTACACTGCAGTAAGCACTTCATCAATTTCGCCTCCAATTTCCACCTTACCCTCATTTTCACCTGGTCTATCACTGACTCCTCCCTTCCCTTCCTCAATATTTCTGTTTCCATTTCTGGGGATAGACTGGCCACTAATATCCACTACAAACACTGACTTACCCAGTGATTCCCCAGCTCTGTTGTCAACAGGGCCCTCATCCGGGTTCGACCATCTCCCGCACTTCTGCCCTCACACCTTCTCTTCCCTCCCGCAACAGCGATAGGGTTCCCCTTGTCCTTACCTACCATCCCACCAGTATCCACATCCAAAAGATCCTCAGACGCCATTTCCGCCACCTCCGGCAGGATGCCACCACCAGACACATATTACTCTCCCCTCCTTTGTCCACCTTCCGCAGGGACCGTTCCCTCTGGGACACCTTGGTCCACACTTCCTTAAGCCCCAACACCCCCCACACCCCTATGGCACCTTCCCCTGTAACCAGCGAAGATGCAATACCTGCCCATTTACCTCCTCCCTCCCCAGTATCCAAGGGCCCAAACATTCCTTCCAGGTGAAGCAAAACTTCACCTGCACTTCTCAGAATCTAGTCTACTGCATTCGCTGCTCACAATGTGGTCTCCTCCACAGTGGGGTAACGAAGCATAGACTGGGCGACCGCTTCGCAGAACATCTATATTCTGCTCACAAAAAAGACCCTGAACTACCTGTTGCCTGCCGCTTTAGTGCACCACCCTGTTCCCTGGCCAACATCTCTGTCTCTGGCTTGCTGCAGTGTTCCAGCGAAGCTCAACGCAAGCAGGAGGAACAACACCTCATTTTCCTCTTGGGGACCCTGCACCGATCTGTACTCAATATCGAGTTCAATAATTTTAGGGCCTAAACTCTCCCATGTCCCAGCCCCCCACCCAACACACCAGGCCTTGTTACCACATAGCCTGCCATTACACACCCACTGTTGTTAGTCACTAACAGTCCCCATTAACAACTATTCACCCTCCCAGCCTGATTGTTAGCAACTCCTTTGTCTGTCCAACTGTCTCTCTCTCTCTTTGGGGTCTATCCTATCGTTTACTCCCTACCCCACCCACCTCCCTGTCTTCTGCATATAAACGACAATGTCCCAGCTGCCATCAGTTCTAAGGAACGGGTCACCGGACCTGAAATGTTAACTCTGTTTTTTCCTTCACAGATGCTACCAGGCCTGCTGAGCTTTTCCGGCAACTTTGGTTTTGTTCCTGATTTACAGTGTCCACAGTTCTTTCGGTTTTTATTAAGAATCCAACCATCCCTCCTTGCCATTCAATGCTATTACCATTGCTGTATACATCATATCCTGGGATTACCATTGACCAGAGACTGATCTGGACCAGCCATACTGTGGATAGGAATTCTGTGGTGTGTAACTCATGTTTTGTCTTCCCAAAGTCTATCCACAAGGCACAAGTCACGAGCACAATGGAATACTCCCCACTTGCTTGGATGGATAAAGCCCCAACAATACTTAGGAAGCTGATCATATTCCAGGACAAAGCAGCCTGCCTGACTGACCCTCCATCACCACTATCGGCATCCACTCCCTTAACCAATGATTCACAGTGGGAGAAGTGTGTGCCATCTTCAAGATGCACTGAAGTAACTCAAACAGGCTACTTCGGTAGCACCTTCCAAACCTTTGACATCTATCATCTAGAAGGACAAGGGCAGCAGATGCACGGAAACAACAACATCTGCAAGTTACCCTCCAAGCTGCACATCATCCAGATTTGGAACAATAACATTGTTCCTTCACTGGTGCTGAGTCATAATTCTGGAACTCACTTCGTAACAGCACTTTGGACGTACCTATCCTCACGGACTTCAGCAATTCCCCTTTTCCAGGACAATTGGGCATGGGCAATAAATGGTGGCATAGCCAGAATCATCCACATTCCTTGACCAAATGAAAAAAGGGCTCCGATACAATCACATTGCTAATTGAAGTGGATGTTCTGGATGAATATGCGATAAAAGTCTAAAGTAGCAAATCTTGCACAGAGACCCCTCTTTTAAGAATGAATGCACACAAAGAAAAAAGTCAAATGTTGTTTAGTTTACATGTAAGCTTCTCATATTGATTTTTTAAATTGCAGTTGCAATTTTGTGTTTAATTTCAAAACTGAGATCAATTTAATGTTAAATAAATACAAAATACCTTGCACTTTTGGCAAGTTTACAGGCTCATTCTTAGCAAGTTACGCCCATTTAATTTTGAAAAGGTCAACTTGCCATCTCTATGCGTAATCATCTCGTGTTTTAGTTGATTATAGGTTCAATTAGAAATGCTTTCTTTGCATTTAGGTAATTTATTCAGTCTGTGAACTGAACCCTGTTTGTCAGC